TCCTGCGTTCGTTGTATAGGTTAGGTATATTATTAAAAGGAATGTTGTTAATTCGGGCATTCCTGCGTTGGTTGAGTAATTTATATTCATCAGTTAATTTAAGTTTATAAAAAATTTCTCCAGAGGGTGCATACTTAAGAGCTCGTATGTCGGTAACCTGGAAAAGAGAAACAGAACTTATCGTATTGATATTGATTATAGTAGCAATAATAATTAATAAAATTTAAGTAATTTATGTACCTTATTGTGCCGTGTAGTGGCGGTTGAGAATATCCACTACCCCATATCTTCCCGTGGGTGTCGTAAGAGGCGACAGAGGGAGACAGGCAGGAGATGGGCAGCAGCATCTTCCTGATAACAACTGTGAGATAATAAAAAACTGCGGTTGCCAAACCCGCTCGCCAAGCGTGGCAACTATGGCAAATATCCCCCCATGAGTAACGACGCAAACAAACGGCCCCCAGTCCCCACCGGCCCCACTATTCCTGGCTACGGTGGCGACCATGGTAACGGCGGGGCAGGGGGGTGCTAAGAATCTCCGGTGGAGGTTCGGTTGCCACCTACGACGACTCGACCTGGCAACATATAACGCACGCACCCTGAGGACTGACGAGAAGATACTAGAGTTGGAAGAAGAGGTAGACAAGTTGCGCTGGCATATTATTGGGTTATCCGAGGTCCGAAGAGAGGGGGAGGACACGGTAATCCTCGAGTCCGGCAACTTGTTCTATCACCGGGAGGGCGACAATCTGTCCCAAGGAGGTGTCGGATTTATCGTCCACAAGTCTCTCGTCAACAACGTTGTAAAGATTGGGAGTGTGTCGACGAGGGTCGCGTACCCGATACTCAGAATCACCAAACGGTATTCGCTGAAGGTCATACAGGTTTTTTACGCACCAACCTCGGCACATCCCGATGAGGAGGTGGAGGAAATGTATGAGGATATTTCCAGAGCCATACATTCCTCCACAACCCACTACACGGTGTTGATGGGAGACTTCAACGCAAAACTGGGCACAAGAGAAAGCGGTGAGCTGAAGGTAGGGAAATTTGGAGTAGGGCAACGGAACCGTAGGGGCCAGCAGCTGGCCGACTTTATGGAGAAAGAGGGACTCTTTATGATGAACTCTTTCTTCCAGAAGCGGCCCCACAGGAAGTGGACCTGGTCGAGCTCCGACGGTTCGACAAAAAATGAGATTAACTTCATTATGACGACCAGACGCCAACCGTTCAGTAATGTCTCAGTGATCGCAAGGGTGAAAACTGGCAGCGATCACCGAATGGTTAGAGGCACACTGAACCTAAACGTTAAGTTGGAGAGGTCTCGTCTAATGAAGTTAACGCTCCGTCCCCCTCGTGCTCTAATCCAGAATCCCGAAACCTTTCAGCTCGAGTTACGTAACCGCTTTCAGTGCCTAGAAGATTGCAATGCAGTGGACGATATGTATGACAAGCTCGTGGAAACTGTCCATGCGGTCGGAGCTAAGTTCTGCAAGACCGGCCGCAGAAGAACACAAAAGCTCTCCGATCACACTCTTAATCTCATGGCTAGACGGGAGATGAGGCTGCAATCGTCGACAGATTTGACAGCATACAGGCAACTGAATAGACAGATCTTCAAATGCATGCGGCGAGACTTACGCAAATTTAATACTGCTCGTATTGAAGAAGCGATTGAGCGGAACCAGGGCTCCAAAGTATTTGCCAGAGATCTGTCTGCCAGTAAGAGCCAACTGTCAAAGCTGAAGACTGAGTGTGGCAGCATCGTTTCCGGGACACCTGAGATTCTGAGTGAGATTGAGAGGTTCTATGGGCAGCTGTACACATCATCGTTGGAGCCACACGCAAGTGTGAGTAACGATCCAAGAGCGGGTCTAATCCGACACTATTCCGATGATATCCCGGACGTCAGTCTGAGCGAGATTAGAATGGCTCTCCAGCACCTTAAAAACGGCAAGTCCCCGGGCGAGGATGGAATTACAGCGGAGATTCTGAAAGCGGATGGAAAACCGGTACTTGAAGTCCTTCAGAGGCTCTTTAATTCCGTCCTCCATGGTGGCACTACTCCGGAGGCGTGGAACAGAAGTGCGGTGGTCTTGTTCTTCAAGAAAGGTGACAACGCCCTCTTGAAGAACTACAGACCGATATCCCTTCTGAGCCGCGTCTACGTGCTGTTTTCGAGAGTCATTACGAATCCATTCGCACGCAGACTCGACGACTTCCAGCCTTCCGAACAAGCCGGTTTCCGAAAAGGCTTTAGTACCATAGACCACATACATACCCTTCGGCAAATTGTACAGAAGTCCGAAGAGTACAATCTGCCACTTTGCCTGGCGTATGTGGACTATGAGAAAGCCTTTGATTCCGTCGAAATTTGGGCGGTGTTACAGTCTCTTCAGCGGTGCCAAGTTGACTGTCGGTATATCGAAGTGCTGAAGTGTTTGTAAAGTAGGGCTACGATGGCTACCCGAGTACAGAACCAGAGTACGAAACCTATCCAACTGCAGAGAGGTGTAAGACAGGGTGACGTTATTTCCCCGAAACTCTTCACCGCTGCATTGGAAGACGTTTTCAAGCTACTGGACTGGAAAGGATACGGTATTAACATCAATGGCGAGTACATCACTCACCTTCAATTTGCCGACGATATAGTACTTATGGCAGAATCGCTGGAGGACTTAAGCACTATGCTCAATGACCTCAATAGTGCCTCCCAACGGATAGGTCTCAAGATGAACATGGACAAAACAAAGATCATGTTTAATGTCCATGTCACACCTATGCCGGTAATTGTTGGGAGCACTAAGCTCGAAGTTGTTGACGAGTACGTTTACCTGGGACAAATAGTCCGGCTAGGTAAGTCCAACTTCGACCGAGAGGTCAATCGACGGATTCAACTCGGCTGGGCAGCGTTCGGGAAATTACAACGCATCTTCTCGTCAGGTATACCTCAAAACCTGAAAACTAAGTTGTACAACCAGTGCGTGTTGCCAGTGATGACATATGGAACTGAGACGTGGTCCTTCACTGCTGGCCGTATGAGGACGCTCAAAGTCGCTCAGCGAGCTATGGAGAGGGCTATGCTCGGAGTTTCTCTGCGTCATAAACTTAGAAATGAGGATATCCGCAGTAGAACCAGAGTAACCGACATAGCCCATCGGATTAGTAAGCTGAAGTGGCAATGGGCCGGCCATATAGCTCGAAGAACCGACAACCGTTGGGGAAAAAAGGTTCTCGAGTGGCAGCCTCGTACCGGTAGACGAAGTGTAGGGCGACCCCCTACTAGATGGAGTGACGACCTGGTAAGACATGCAGGAAGTCGATGGATGCAGGTGGCTCAGGACCGTGCTTTGTGGCATACCTTGGGGGAGGTCCATGTTCAGCAGTGGACTTATAAAGGGCTGTAATGATGATGATGTACCTTAGGGTCTCCCTTCATTTTTCCTGGTTTTATGGAGGTGTAAAATTGTAAATTTTTAAAATTCTTGAAGTAAGAATAGTTTAGGTATTCGACTGTATACGGTTTTGATTTTTTTGCATTCTTACAAATGGTAATGTCGAGTACAACTGGAACATTAATCAGTTGATTTTTTAGTTTTTTTTTCAATCATTGCGTGCATACTGTCAACCTCCATGGGTGTGGCCTAGTTCCAAATATTTTTGCTCAATTGTAACATTATTTAGCATAGCTATGTTGAGGAGAGTATTGCTTAAAGTAACGTTTTTATTTTGATACGTACACCCATCCGTGTACAAAGTTATGAATCTGTTGTTATCTCCCATTTGTGGGACCACTTTATTCATAAAGAAATTGGTTAAAATCGTTGCAAACTCATCAGAATTAAGCCCACCTTCGGCCATAGAAAGCAATACCCATCGCTAGTTTTCATGTCATAAATACATTAGTTGTGAACACACAGCTTAGTCTTGTAGTAATTTGAAGACACATAGGATCGCGGTGCTAAAAGCACTGCTTGGAGATCTGCAGTAAAAACAAATTCCTTTTTTCTTTATCAGATTATTTTTCCATTCTCGCTTCGTTCTTTTTATTTACATGCTCTTCGTAAGTTTCTTTAGTAATATGGCCCATCTTGTATCCGTTACGGATGTCACACAAATTTTTCTTCGGTTTGAATAAAGCTAATTTTTGTATGGTTAGGGTATTTGTAAAAGTGGCAATAGATAGTGTTTTTTTTTTTGTTTTTTGACTCACAATAATCTTTATACATTTTATAAAGTTGGTGTTTGGATGATATATCTGGTTGTATGTATGTCTGTGTGTTGTGTCCTTTTTCTACAATAATGTGAAGGCATTTTAGGTAAGTCATATAAAAAGTCTTGTAAACTTTTAATTTCTTGGTCGAATGGATTTCTGGGAGTAGTTTCTGGTAATTGTTCATCAGTATTCTTTCCACCAACTTCAACCTTCCAACCCCAGATACATGATTTACCGATAGAGAAGGTATTTAGAAATAACGTTTTACAGATTCTTATCATATCTTCACCTTTTTTTAGATGGTAAATAAAAGTGTTAACTCATTTAGATTTTTGAGGGTCTTTCCTATTTCTTTGACTATTTGTATGTAAAATTTTTACTAAATTATCCACGTAAACTCGTTTTTCATCCCAAGTCATATTCCAAAACTTATCAAATAATATTTTTCTGTCATCTTCAGAAATACTATGACACTGAATAACACTATTTCTCTTTTCCTTACAACTGCACCGGGGTTTCTTTATATCAACACCTTTTTTGGTTTCTTTATATTTTTTTCCACTCTCCATCAACTTTTTTCTTACCGCAATATTCTTTACCCTTTTCTCTATTCTTTTTATTAATTTCACTAGTCCATTCTTCCTTCTTTACTTGACACCTTTTCTTTCTTTTTATAACCGGTTCTTCCGATTCTAAATCAGTATCACTATAATCGACTAATTTATTTATTAATTCAGGACAGACAGTTGGGGTTAGGTAGGTAGGTAAGTTAGGAGGTATAGTTTCATGAGCTGTTAGTTTTTCTTGTATCAATACTTGTAGAGAGGTACGATTGAGATGGTTCAAAACGATTAGAGGCATTTTCAGAATTGTAGATAAGTGATGGAGTAAGACGAAGAGATAGAATTTGAACCGAGTGAGAACTTGGACTGAGTTGTTCTGTTTCAAGCGAAAATATGTCTTCAATAAAAACATTCTTCACTATTTCATATGTCTGCGTATTAGAACATGTTTGGTTATCGAAACTTTTACTGTCGAACGATTCAGGGTTATATATGTGCTCTACGCCAGGCTTTTCATTTTCAATATAATCAATGTAGCCATTATCAAAGAAAGTCGATGAAGCAGAATTAGAAGCTACGCTATCATGCCCAACGAAAGCGTCATACGGATTTGGAAATTGGTTATTAACAAATAAAACAGAGTTATTGGTTTCATTAAGCTCATGCTGTTCATATTGCATGCTTATTTGCAGTATTTTTTTAGCACGTGAGTGGGACATCTGCATACAAATTAAAAAAAAACATCACCATAAGCACAAAAATGAGCCAAAAATGATAAAAAATATCAATTTAACTTTAAAAGTAAAGTTATGTAAAAATATCAAAATTAAAATAATGAAATAAAAACATTAAATTAATGAAACAATAATGTAACTTTAAATTTTAATTACTTTTTAATAAACATAAAAATGGATAACTCCCAACACTAGTGTGAAAAATTAAGCAAATCAGCCAACTCCTAGCCAATATTAAATCTTAAAATTACATTATTAACTAGCACTGTTTTGTGAAAAAGTAATTAAGTATCCATACCTTGTATTAATATTCAACTATTTTCTATACTACCTTTCCTTTTGTCGCGTTTTAATAATTTTCTTCAACAAAACGTAGGGCGGTAACCGTACACGACTCGAACGCCATACAAAATGGCCGACTTAGTGGAGTTGGCTGTCAAAATCATAACTTTCCGTAACACACGGAGTTAGCTGATTTTCTAATAGCGATTTATAGAAAGAATTGTGATCATATCGGAGTTGTCGTTTTTGCAAATCACGACGAACTACTGTTGCGTACAATTTATACCAAAATATTTTTTTGGTATAAATTGTACGCAACAGTAACTAAATGTGGAGTTGGCTGGTTTGCCAATTAAGGTATCGATTCTGCATTTTTAATTGTATTGGAGGAAAAATGTAAAATGGCTATGAGCCACAGTATCCATTTACCAACAGGTGGACTGTGTACTCGCTTGTTACCCTTATTCTATGTAAGAAATAACTATCACTACACATCCAGATTAGTTATGCGGTAAAACTATTTCCCACAGGACTACTGCAGCTATTACCTGATCCGTTTCAATAAGCAGCCACATTTCTGCCGCAAAGTGGAGGAGCCCCGGCCTACAAGGCGCCCTGCAACCAGAACCATGCGGCCGCCGGTCATGGAGCTAGAAAAGGAAGCGGAGCCCGATCTACCTTCCACCTTTACTGTAACAAAACTGTTGACGGTATTTTTTATTTTGTTCTAAATTTGTATTTTTTATAGAATAAGAATGACATACAGTCCACCTGATTGTAAGTGAACGCTGTAGCACACAGTCCACCTAACGTAAATGTACACCTATCCTCGACCTTCAATAGGCACACGGTCGGATCCGACCACGGCGATGTTCCATCGAAATCCCAAGCCGTCGGATCCGACCGCACCCACCCTCAGCAATATAACCCATAAATACTTATTCTTAAAGACTACTTTTCTATGATCAAGCAAAACGCGCTAGCGTTGTCAAAGTTTTAGCTAGGGATTGAGGGGTTAAGAATCATATTGCAGATGTATCATCACTCAGTATTACGACTGACGACGAGCACACAGTCCACTTAATGGTAAACGAATGTTTCTGCCTATAGACATCTAAATCTATCCTCAATTAAGAATCAAAATGCAGATACGTTGTCACCTCTAAGTTCTTAGATGGATGGATGCTACGCTTCCAGTAAAAAAGGTCTCCTGTTCTCTAGACTCACCACACGAAACACAGCACAGCATTCAGCTACTTTAGGCTGGTATTCTGTAAGAGCGTGGCTCTATCCTGGTTAAGCCGATCTGTTTGTGCTACGACCATAAAATAGATGCAGCGTGGTTTTAACACGTATTGATTAAAAGTTGATTGTATTCTTGTTAAATGAAAAAGATGTTCTGAATTTTTCATGTGATTTCGGCATAAGAGAAACCTATCACCTCATTTTGATTCATGTGTCGTTGGAGGCGACGACAGAAATAGCAATAATAAGTCAATAGAAATGAATTGGCGCCCGATTACTTCCCAAAACCGATGTTGCCACATCTTACCGTATTATAAAAATACGCAATGCACAATGATATCTAATGTTTCACATTACATTGCTTGGCGAGTTTGTCAACGTCGCGTGCGTCGCCGGTAGAACAAAAGTAGCAATGGTAATTGTATAATACGAAAAGTAATAAATGAAAGTTTACAAAGGTAAATATCGTAGTAAAGTATTTATCTAGATGTAAATTACTTAAGACGATGATAATTAGTAAATTATGAACTTACCGATGAATTGTTAGTTTTTACAACTGATTATGCTGCATTTCACCATTATAAATTTATAATAACATAAATTCAGATACGATGTTCCCCGCGCAATTAAATCACAAAATGGTGAATGATGTTCGTCAACACATTTAGACCATTCACCCAATGAGTGGTTTAAGTCAGCACATCATAGCGGCGACAAGGTCACGTGTCTATGCGACTTCTATTTTCTTATTATTACGATTTCTGTGGAGACGACTATGGAGATATCAGAAAGATCTCATAGCTTATGTATTAGTATAATGTTACTATCGTCAGACCCTGGCAACAGTAAGCGGGGAAGTGCCAGACGTCTGGATCTGGAATAGCGAATCGGCCTGCATCCGTGATTAGGTAAATTATGCCTATAATAGTATAGGTACATGTCCAGTAGTGTTCTTAAAAGTATTGATTAATTTATTCGTTGCAGCAACAGAGTGAACACCATAACGTAATAACACTACCATCTAGGGCATACACCAAAAAAAGATTATACATCACCAAATTAAATAAAGAATACACAATAACATTGCACTCGTGGAGATGAAGAATAATAAATTTATAGTGACTTTAAGATCGATTTTGGAAAGTTTTGAGGATTATGAATTGCCTTTACATTAGTAACTTCTTTTTTATCAACTTGTAATTTGACCTTTATTGTGGAGGCGTTTATTATAAATAGACTAATATCCAAACCGATTTTTTCTGTCGTACACTTTATATAAATGAGTCGGAGAATCACCTTTTTACAGAATATCAGCGTAAAGTAGCAGTAATGTTGAATATTCTACACTTCCGTTCATGAATGTATTTCTTACTATAAACGATCACTTTTTCTTCAAATTATCCTAAAATTGGCGTGCCGTTATTTTATTTAAATATAACCTACCTGCACCCGATGTAACGCTTCAGTGTTAAAATTGACGGCAGGTGAGGATACAGTATCAAAGGTACGGTGTCTATCACAATTAATAAAAAATTACCATGTTATTGCCACGTTTAAAAAAAGCATTTCCATAAAAGAAAATTTTATGCTATTTTTTAGCAGAAAATTGAAGAGTGAAAGTTTTGCTCACTTAATTCTTTCCTCCCCTTTCTACCATCAGACAACCAGATGGTCACCCCTTGGTTATCGATATTCCATGTATGTATTTTTACTGAAAGATTATTTTAGATAAGATTCGAGTGCAGGATAAGTCACGTAGAGACCTGGTGCTTTTCTTGTATATTACTGAATTTTAACATTCTGTTTTAGAATATTTCAACAGAAAATCTAGAGAATGCAATTCCAGCGATAGAGAAAAAGCCATTGGCTGGATTCATAGCCACCATGACACCTGATAAGAGGCAGCTTGTAGAAATTTTGTACCAGGACATCATAAGACCATCGGGAGTGCGCTGGGATGACGTCAGAGGCTTAGAGGCAGCCAAGAGTATACTCATGGAATCGGTTGTGTATCCAGTAAGGTGAGCACTTATTGTTATTACATATTTAAGCAAATTATAAGGGTCTTTTTACCTATCACGTCTACCTCAGACTGCGTCGCTGGTCTAGTGGAATGACTTATTAATTGTATTTTTTTTTTTGATATTTAATATTCATTGCTGTTTTGATATGTATTCCTTTTATTTATGACCACTGATCTACCATGAGTAAAAATTGTTTCACTTCATGATATGTTAAGTAAAATTATAACAAACCTAATCAAAGGAGCAATAAATGTACATAATTTTGCCACCACTGGTATAACACACCTAATATCAAAGGGTCAAGACACAACTAATCCATCTAAAGACCGATTTACACTTCGACAAGTACAGTAGCGAGTTTAGTTACAGGACAGTTGACACTAAACAGTTAAGTAGGCAGTAGCGTTCAAATGTCTTCGTGACGAGTTTAGTTAAGGACATTAGTTCATAGAGTTCGTTGGAGTAGGACGTTTCAAGACCACAGAATTTTTCCGGTTTTGGTATAAGATGGTTCTAGGATTACGTCAAGAATTAAATGATCCAGTCAGAGAAATATTAACGGTTGTTGTTAAAGAAGTTTTTAAGAATTTTCATGAGTGCAGCAGCTCGAACAGGTTTAATTTTACAATTTGAACTTCTACTATTATATAAATATTCGTGTTCTAAATACTCCTGTACCAATTTATGCGTGATATCTTCCGTCCATTTTATTATTAAAACTCTATACAAAACGTATACATATTTAATAAATAGTATCGTACAAACTTTATGGCGAGTTTAATTATAAAAATACAATTGTACGTTTTGGCGCGCAAACGTTGCGTCCTGCCAAATTATGCACTGAACTAAACTCGCTCGTTTACACGAACGGCGAATTTAGTTGCGGGTGCCGGGAGACGCGCGGGACGGCAGCCCTTCGCACTTAACTCGCCGAAAAATAGCTCGGCCGGCTATCCCGTTCAACTTAATCTTTAACTTGCTACTTAACTCGCTTATTACCGTTCAAACGAGGTTCAAACTTAACTCGCTAGATTCGCAAGTTAACTCGCTACTGTACTTGTAGAAGTGTAAATCGGTCTTAAGTAACGACCAATAACGTGCTTACCTACAATTTGTAAACTAATTACATCTTGCATAACATAGTTTGGAAAAAAATGGTATTGTAAATGGTGTGCCGAAGAACAAAGAGGCTTTAGGCGACACCATCGTGGATGTAAAGAACAATTGATAATTGATTCCACCATTCTCAAACATGCGAAAATACATAGTAGAAATTTAAATATAACTTATATAGACTACCAAAAGGCTTTCGATACTGTGCCTCATTCGTGTTTTATAAATTTACTAAATGATACAATCTGATTTTTCTTAAGAAATTATATGAATAATTGGAAAACTAAACTATCCTTCAGGAACAAAAATATAAAATTACGTACTGATGAGATCCAAATTAAAAATGGAAGTTTTCAGGGAGAGTCATAGAATCCTTTATGGTTCTCTATGGCCTTAAATCCACTTTCGCGTCTCCTTTCTAAGCCAAATCATAGATATAAATTGACTAAAAATACATCTATAATCCACTTAATGTACATGGATGATATCAAAATATTTAAAAGATCCGACAAAGATATGAAGAAGTTAATTCAAAACACAGTTTCATATAGTGCAGACATAAAAATGAGTTTCTGTTTAGATAAATGCAGAAAAAATCACTTAAGTGAAGGAATACTAACACCCGAAAAGTACTATAACGACGAAGAAATTAACTTAACAGCATTCGAGGATAAAGATTTATACAAATATTTAGGAGTGCATTAAGGAAGAATAACGTACGTAAAAAAATAACCTCACAACGGAATACGTGATAAGAATTAATAAATTATGTAAAAAAAATTCTAAAAATCTCACAAATGCTGTAAATACTTATGCTGTTCCTATTCTTACTTATTCTTTTGGAGTCATCAAGTGGTCACTTACAGATATAAAAACCTAGAAATACAAACAAGGACACCCTTACAAAATATCAGTATTTACACCCTAAATTTGCTATAGAAAGATATAATATTAATAAGCAGCAAGGAGGAAGGGGAATATTGGATTTAAAAATATTATGGTAAAGTCAAATTAAGAGTCTGAGAATTTTTTTTATAAAAAAATCGGCAATGAGTAAAGTACATAAAGAAACATTAGAATCTGACACAAATTATACTCCGCTTAGTTTAAAACAAACAGATAAAGAAACTAACAATGACGAACAAAATAAAGAAAAATTGGCAAGATGGAGAAGCAAGGAACATATTGATGTTGAAGCCTCAAATAAATGGTTACAATTAACTTATTTATTCCCGTAAACTGAAGGGTTCATACAAAAAACTATAAAAAATATATACTAAAAAAGATTGAATCAGATACTTGCGGAAAATATCATCAACATAGTGAAACAATATACTCGTAATATATTACATGAGCGTGCTCTGATTTAGTTAAAACAGATAATAAACACCGTCATAACCAACTAATTTACAATATTCATCAAATAGTAAGTCAGTTAAGATGAAGCCATATTATGAATATACACCAAACGCTGTATTGGAGAACACCAACGCCAAATTGTATTACGACCGCGCCATTCCAACTGATAGAACTATTCACTACAATAGACCAGATTTCACACTTTTAATAAATCTACAAAAACAGCTTATTTAATAGACGTAACTATTTCAAATACTCATAATATTCTGAAATCAATAACTGATAAAATTAATAAGTACACAGACCATAAAGAAGTTACTTGTATTTGGAATTTAGATAAAACCTTCATAGTACCGATAGTGCTCTCTACTACAGGTGTTGTACCGAAGCACCTTCATCAGAGTCTTAAGAGTCCTGGAATTATCAACTAATACGTATATAACTATACAAAAAACCGTTATCCTTCACAGAATTGTTCGCAAGCTCTCAAATGATGCTATTCATTTATATGATATTTGGCCGCTGGCCCGTATTACTTACCTCTATCTACTTACTTCCTAAAAGAGACTAGTAAATGAATACATTTGAAAGATAATAATAATAATAATATTTTCAAACAAAAGTAAAAGATATTGCACGTCATTATCATAATAGAATGTAAGGTCTCTTTAATCATTAATAAGATTATTGTAATTATTTACTACATTCTGATAGTAAATAAAATAAAATAGCTAAGAGGATGCTACCTATTCCGACGAGCTCCCAAGCGGAAAGGAATTCAGCCACAAAGTAAAGTTTTTTTAAGACATCCAGAATTGTTCACGGGTCTACTGGAACCGTGGCGCGGTGTACTCCTCCACGGGCCGCCGGGTACTGGCAAGACGATGCTGGCGCGAGCGGTCGCCAGCGAGAGCCGCTGCACCTTCTTCAACGTGCCCTGCAGCACCCTCATCAACAAGTGGAGAGGCGAGTCGGAGAAGATTGTAAAGGTGCGGACTGCATGCTCGATGTACTATTGGTAGAGTCATGCTGCAGCTATATTATAGTAATAGGTCGGTTCGACTGGGGTCGGACACGCCCACTTACCAGAGTGAAATAATAGATTAATTTGTGTTTAGTATGCTGAGTGTAGAGATGTGGAGACAATTTTTACTGGAAACAGGGCATTCTATCTTAGTCCTCAGGGGTGATAACGCAACTACATTTTCACCTTTGTCAGTTGATAGATATCTATGAGCGACAACATCCATTTACCAATGAAATTGTTAATTGCTATTTTAATTCTGATTTACCATGTGCTCGACGGTGAAGGAGAACATCGTGAGGGAACATAACCTAAATATATTTCGAAGACATGCGAAGTTCGCCAACACGCATTGGGGCAGCGCGGCGGACACTTACTTACCCTAAAAGCCTCTCGGAAATGGGGCATGTGTATATAGGCTGTAACTTAAACTTATTTTTTACTATTTATAGGAGTTACAGGCTCACATAAAAATGGACACCGTGTAGTACCGGAGTACATACACTACCATGTAACATCCAGTGGTTGATACGAGGTATTACTGAAGCAGAAGATGGGCAACAGCATGACAATGATGATAATGCAGCATTTTCTTACAAACAAGCACACAGTCTACCTGATGGTAAGTAGTTGCCGCGGCCCATAGACATCTACATCTATACTCGGTTACAAATCAAAATGCAGATCAGATCACTTGAAGACTAAGATAGAATGCCTCGTTTCCAGTAAAAAGGGTCTCCGGTTCTCTACACTCACCATACTAAATACAGCAGCATTAAGCTACTATTTTACGCTGGTATCCTGTGAGAGCGTGGTCCTTCCCCGGTCGAGCCGGCACATTCGTTCTACAACTAACTACTGATATAACCGCAGCATGGCTCTACCACGTATAGATCAACATCTTTCTGATAACAGCTCAGAATAACAAAAAACTGCGGTTGTAAACCGCCTTCCTGCATTATTTTATGCTTTAAAGTTCTTTGAAGTCGGTTATTATTTTTTATCAAGAATTTCATTTGTTCGCCATTTTGGTGTGAGCTAAGGAATATCACAAGCTCAATAACAACTAGCATATTATTGTCTAGTTATATATTTTTTTTATAGAATAAGTTGACAAACGAGCACACAGTCCACCGGATGGTAAAAGGATGCTGTGGCTCATAGAATCTACATTTATCCTCGATTAAGAATCAAAATGCGGATGCGTTGTCACCCATGAGGACTGCGATAGAATGGGTGCGTTTGGCAGAAAAAAGCGCTAGCAAGCACTCGTAAGCAAAATGGCGATCGTAAGCGGTAAGCGCTGTCAAATCGTAAGTAGCTATTTTCCTCTAGGACACGAAGTTAGTTTTAAGCGAGGAATCTAACCTAAATTAAATATACGTTTGTAAAGTATTCATATTAAAAACTTACCAATCATGAATTTTTAATAACATGTATATGTCTATTCATGTCATTATATTACTTAAAACTAATATTGCAAAAAACAACATATAAACTCTTCTTCAAAACAAACAAATTAAATAAGCAAAATGGCGGATTGTGTCAGCGCTACTGAAGTAGCAATCGTGTCCTGGCCGAAAACTATTTTAGCGCTAGTAAGCGCTTGCTAGCGCTTTTTTCTGCCAAACGCACCCAATGCCTCGTTTCCAGTAAAAAGGGTCTCCGATTCTCAACGCTCACGCGAACGTGCCGCGGTCGAGCCGACCGATTCGTGCTAGTTGAAATTATAATTTAGCTGCAGCGTGGCTGTACGAGTTAAATTTTGAACCGATAATATTAAAAACTTCACTTCTATTTTAATTTTTTTTCCAAATTTATACGGGATCTGAAGCAACAACTCAACACCTGAAAATCGGTTCAAAATTTAACCGTAACGTACATTCAATAAAAGTCTAATTGAGAACCTTTTCTTTAACTCTGCAAAAAATAAGCTTCAACTATAAAAAAAAGAAATTCCTCCTCAGGTTCTTTTCGAAATGGCCTTCTACTACTCCCCATCGATAATCTTTATAGACGAAGTGGAGACCATAGCATCGGAGCGATCTTCGGTTGGAGAGCACGAAGCTTCCAGAAGGCTGAAGTCACAACTCCTGACAGAGCTGGATGGAGTACGAGAGAGAGAAGGACTGGTGTTTTTACTTGCTAACTCCAATATGCCTTGGTAAGTGATACCAGTTCATCCATTACCGCCTCTAAAACTCCACTGTTGAATATATGCCTCTACCAAAAATTGCCTTATCTAATGGGTAGGATATTTCTACAGTTTCCGCTTGGTAGTCGGTTGTTAGTTGGCAAACAGGTAGGCCGCCGCGGTTTTTATTAATGCGAGTTGTTATCTCCTCAACAGTATCTTTCTAAATGGCGACATTTCCTATACGTGTCAACCATTGTTGCGGCTTGTACTTACTCCAGGTTGCCCAGGAGAAATATTATTTTATTTCGTGTTTTCTTTAAATATATGGTTATAATGTTGTGGTTTATACAATAAAATATAATAAACATTTATACATTATTATAACATTAGTGCTAAAAGCGAAGTATAATGGTAATTTCAAAACAACATTATAAAACAAAATGGCGGAAAATGGCGGGAATTGAATCGCTGCAATGGATGACAGTTACAATAGAAATTTGACACATAGCCGGGATGGATGTTTTAACTGTTGAGTGGTTATGAGAAAGTTGGTGTTGTTTTTCTTTTATAGAATAAAGGTGACACGCGAATTAAATTACGCATCTAATTATATAAATAACATAAAAACGAGCATCTAATTTAATTAAGTGTCTGTCTGTTATATATTGAAATTACCGGCTTCTATTAAGCTCGGGGCCTCATTTATACGCTATCTAGACATATAAAAATATTTTTAAAAGTTCTGTCTGTTCGGCCCAATTTTCCTAATGGCTGCACCACTTGTGATGAAACTTTACGAACAGAGAAAGCAACGCTAAGGTGGATCTTGGCTATTTTTTAATCGCAAATCTTGAAGCTTTTTTTTTGTAAAACGATCAATGTATTCACTTGTGGAGGCGCTACTGTCGCGCAACAAGCGAAACATACCGAAGCCTAAATGGCGCTATCAAAGTTCACGCGCTATATATATTTAGAACAGATCCCAAATAACACTACATGTGTTATTTCGGAGCTGTTGGCATTGGCCGCTCCCGGGACTGTACACCATGCCCAGCAGGTGATCTCCGCTTTCCTTCTACGACTTTGGTGGAAGTACCGACGTGATGTGAACACGCAACATGCAACGTTTGGAAACCTTAACTTTCATGCCTTCGTCATCGTTCTCAAGTACCCAACTATTCGCTCACGAGCAGATATTGTCAGCTTTACAAGGTTTATCGCAGCACTGGAATAATGTTTCCTGTTCTTTCAAGCTACTCTCTGCACTACAGTGTTCAGCACGGCACTGAGCCTTACTGGTTGCCTCTGCTTCACTGGACTGTCGGAGATCACTTGCCTTCTCCTCAACTCACGGCAGACTACAAGGCAATCTCTGGCATTTGCACATTCATCGACAACTAGATTGCACTATCGACCTCCGGTCTGAGCAGGGTAGTGATGTGGTGGCGCTGTCGTCGCGTCACAAGTGAAACACACCAAAGCCTAATCGCGCTATCGAATTTCCGAACTTTACGCGCTATATATAAAACAGCTCCGAAATAACACATGGAGCGTTGGCCGCTCCCCACAAAAAAAGTCTCCGTCATTACGAATTCTAATACTTCGAGCTTAGCCCTCTCCATAGCTCAATAAGCGACCTTACGCTTCCTCCTAAGGCCAGCAGTGAAGGACCAAGTCTCAGCTTCACATGTCATGACTGGCACCAGTGCGTGTTACCAGTTGTACAATCTTATTTTCAAGTTTTGAGGACGTGACGAGATGTGTCGAAATCCTCCCGAACGCAACAACCGAGTTGGATCCGTCGATGATTCTAATAATCAAACAAAATAAGTGATATCATATTGTTAATTTGATTTTTAGGGAAATCGACACAGCTATGTTAAGAAGACTAGAGAAAAGGATCTATATACCACTACCAGACTTGAAAGCGCGCGCGCAACTATTCGAAACCTACTTGAACGTTCGTACTATAGAATTATATCCGAAGGTCGATTTCGAACTATTAGCAGCTAAAACCGAAGGATACTCCGGCAGTGACGTGAAACTAGCGTGTAAAGAAACACTGATGATGAACGTGAGGAAGATGCTGCCCAACATGCTCAACAGGAGTAAGTACCGTATGAATATGCTTAATGATTATTTTCTTCTACTCGCAGCCAATTTTCACCTCGCCAGTATCTTGTATTTGGGAAAATTACTAAAAAATGTAACTGGTACACTTGGAATTGCGTCATGGTGAAATAAATTTTTCAGCCTGTATACTTAAATTTACACAGCTGGACACGACTCGTCTGAGTAACCAAGGCTTTTTTTTCTATTCAGAGACCTTTTTTACTGATGAGGCATTCTATCTTAGTCTTTAGGGCTGACAACTCAACTGTATTTTGATTCTTAATCTTGGACAAACATGAGAGTGTCTACTAGCAGGCAGCTACATCCGTTACCATCAGGTGGACTGTGTGCCCGTTTGTCCTTATTTATAAAAAAAAATGCTCAAATTGATTTTCAATTCGAGAAATAAGATCAAGTTACGATCTAGTGTTATCAGTGCTGTATAGAAATCCTCGTAATCTTTTATGGGGACTATTTATTATTATTGGGGTATCTATATAATTTTCTCACCTGGTTGGGTTCTATAAATATATAATTATAAATTAAAATGAAAAGATAAATATACATAAATATCAATAAAATAAAATAAACACAAAAACTACATAAATAAATAAGATCCAACCAGATGGGAGCCCTCGGCAGGGGAGACCAAACGGCGGAGGGTTAGGGGGGAAAGGGAAAGAAACCGGCGGACGATGCGGGCGGTATCGAGGAGCACCGCCTTCTGCATTTGAGCCCGGAGCGGTCCGTCACGGAGTCCCAGTCGCCTCAGATGACCCGAGAGGCTGACTGGGATTAGCCCATTCGCAGAGACGACTACAGGGATAATTTCGGTCGGCAGACCACCCCACATGTCGGTCACCTCGTGAGCCAGGTCCAGATATTTTGTTCGTTTCTCTGTTTCGGCTTTCACGAGGTTCTCGTCGTACGGAATGGTAATGTCGATCAAAAATATCCTTGACTGTGCCCGGTCCATCAGCACAATATCAGGCTTATTCGCAAGAATAGTCCTGTCTGTGATGATGGCCCGGTCCCAGTAGAGCTTGGCGCGGTCATTTTCGAGCACGGCTTCCGGCAAGTACTTGTAATACGGCAATTTTCGGTCCACGAGACCGTATTTCAGAGCGAGCTCCTGATGTAGAATTCTGGCTACTAGGTTGTGCCTGTGCAAATACTCAGAGTTAGAAAGCGCCGAACATTATTATTATTATTATTATATGCAAACAGCTATGCAGGTCTAGGGAAAGAGACCAGTATCCCTGCGTCCTACAAGATCTATTGTGATCGCTGCTATGCGGCTATAGTTCACGGCTAAGCTCTATGTATTCAATGAATAGAAGGAGTTGCTTAGCCGTGAGTAATTTCACTTCTTCTGGGCGGAGTACATAGTTTCCCGGATGAGTGTCACGATTGCGCATTAAGGCTCAGCAATCAGTTAGGATGTGTAGAGGCGTTTCTTCCGTTATGGAACAGAACCGACACATCCTTGAGTTGCTTAGTCCCAGGATGGACATGTGCTTTTTAAGACAATAGTGTCCAGTTAAACAAAAGTTAAAGTTTAAACGGTTCACGCAGTCTCCAACTAGCTTCGAGTTCAGTAAGCTTGACCTCAGCACTAGCAGTGCTGCTTGACTATCAGAGTTTACGTAAAATATATGGTTGACGTAGTGTTTTTGCAGATTGATTTCCGCACACCAAAGTATGGCGAATATTTCTGCCTGGAAGATAGAGGTGTATCTACCCAAATTCATACTAAGTTTGAATTTGGGGCGCTCCCCGTAAATTCCAAAACCTACGTCGAGGCCCATTTTAGACCCATCGGTATACCATATGAGGCTACCGACCTCACAGATAACCTAGCCATTCAGCCAGTCTTCTCTGGAGGCTAATTCCACTATATACTTTTTATCAAAAGTGTGTAGTGAACTCATGATATCTGAGATCGTGCATAAGACCGGTGATTCCTTAATTGAGGCGAGCATGGATCTCAATCTGTAGGAGAGCAAGCTCAGACCGCCCTGGGCGTTAACCCTATACAAACTAACCCTCGCCTCCTTGTCTAGATAGAGATCAAGGGGCGTTAGGCATAGAAGTGCATAAGAGCCGCTCCAGGCGATGATCACATAGCTCCAGTTGCTATTAGGCAGGCAGTCCTTTGTAGACAATTTAGTCTGTCCGCAGACGTCTTTTGGTTGGCCTTGTTACACCAGACAATAGAGGCGTAGGTGAGAATCGGCCTCACTATGCTGCTGTAAAGCCATAGGACCGTACTGGGACGCAAGCCCCAGTTCTTCCCGACCAAACGACTGCACGTACCTAAAGCAATTTTTGCCTTATGGCATACGTTGATAATGTGAGAGTTCACGTTAGTTTTTGGTCGATTGTTACGCCCAAGTACTTAACTTCCGTGGAAAATGCTACTCCTTTACCATTAAGTTTTGGTTGGACTAATTTGTCCAACCGTCTCTTTTTGATAAAGGGTATTATAACAATTTTATCAGTATTAACTGATAAACTGTTATCCCTACACAAGTTATTTATGGTGTTTAGGGCTCTTTGTATTATTGACGATAAAGTACTTTGGCAAAAGCCCCACGCAATGATCACAAGGTCATCAGCATAACCCAATGTGTCAATGCGTGGGTCTGCCATTTTGTACAATAGTTGGTCAATTGCAAAAGTCCCCATGCAAAACTTGCTCTGAAGATTTTCACCAGATAAGGAAGAAGGATGTCGATACCCCTCTGTAATTGGATGGGAATTATTCCATCCTCCCCGCTTGATTTAAATGGTTCAGTGGAGCCAACAGTCCACTGCACCAGGTTTGGCCGTATTATCTTTGCAGCCTTACACCATTCCTCATTGCAAGGCCTTCGTAAGGCTCTGAAAGAATTCAAGGCTGAAGTCTTGTGTGACCCTGGGAAATGGGTTGAGGCTAGTAACTCCAATGTTTCTGTTGCACTATTAGTGAAGTTACCATCCGGCTTTTTAAGAAGCCCGATCTGATTAGGTTTAGCTTTCGATAGCATTTTGGGTAGTCTTGCCCTGCGAGGCAAAGACTCAGCTTCCTCACATAGCTTCCTCCACGATGCTCTCTTGGCTTTCCTTATTTTTTTATTATATTCAGTTAGGGATGCACTATAAATATCCCACTCTTTGGTTTTCTTAGCCCTATTAAATAGTTTCCTGGTCTTTTCCCTAAGTTCTTTTAGCTTAGAAATCCACCAAGGAACTTTTCGTGTTGAGGTATTGGTTTTGACGGAACAACTATCCTCGTAGGCTTCACGGATACCTACGGTTACTGTCTCCGTCGCTAACTCCAGACCTTCAATTGTTTTGATTCTTTTAGGAAACGTTTCTAAATTCCTCCTTAGGGATTATCTCTGTAGATATCCCGGGAGGTCGTTTTTGGATCTCTAAAAGTAACGGTTTCAAAAGTCGGTGATGTACCAATCACATACTTAATGTGCTTGTGATCAAACATCGAGTTTTCGTTACTAACATGCCAGTCATTTATCCACCTGGACATGTTATTAGTAGCAAAGGTTAAGTCTAACACTTCTTGCCTAGCACGCGTTACAAAGGTTGGTATACAACCTAAGTTTAGGCTTACCAAGCGGTTTGAGATGAGGAAATTATAAAGGAACTGACCTCTTTCGTTGATGTTGGTGCTTCCCCAGGCTGTGTGGGAGCATTAGCATCACAACCCACCATAAGTTCGGCGTTGTGTTTTCGGGCGAATTCCGCCACTCGCTCGATGGTAGGTTCTGCGTTCTCGCAGGGAAGATAAGCTGAGCAAATAATTACTCTGGCCCCTGTGCATCCCTTGAGATATGAGCTGTAACCAGGTCATCATTGTAGTAATCTGGAACAGCTAAAAGTTTAATATTTTTATTATAAATTATACAAGCTCTGGGTCTACCGCCTTTAGTATTGATAAGGATCTTACCGGCAGCCGCCAATCCCAGAACTTGAACATTGGCCACCCAAGGCTCTTGTATAAGGGCGAGGTCAATGTTGTCCTCTGCAAAGAAAACCTCCACCACGGCCGAAGCAGCTGCTGCATGGTGAAGATTTTCTTGGAGGACCCTCGTCTTACCCTTGGGTTTGGCCATTTATGGGCGTGGGGCAGGGGTCTTTTCCGCCTGTTGAGGACGAGGGCGTCCTTTACCGGCGCACTTGACCCCCACCTTACCTTTCGTCAAACCACTCCCACCTCCCCTCCCCCCCAGACCTGGATGACACCAGCGGAGTCCGTCGGACCGAGGCGAAATCTGCGCCTTGGGTCTTCGTCACTCTCGCCGGTGGCGTTCCAGCCTCACCCCGAGAGGTGGAGGGCTGGGGGGATTGGAGTTGGGGCAGTGGCTTCACTGCTGCGTCAGAATCTCCCCTGACTTTAAAAGTTATCATCTTAAAGCCAAGGACGACTCTGCCGCCTGCCTTCCGAAGAGTCTCCGCCGATGGGTCATCCAGAGAAAAGGTTACTAAGAACCCATTCTCCTCGTCCCTACGGTGGGGGATCCTCCAGAGCTCAGTATGGAGCCCTTCATTTTGTGCCCTCAACAGCACAGCCACCTCCTCTGGAGAGTCGGCTTCGCTGCGAGGCAAGTAGGTAATGCACAGTTGAGGCTTAGGCAGTTTGTCCTCGGGTATTACCGAGAGCTCTGCTTCCGGCCAGGGCTTCAGTTTTCCGATTTCACCCACAATCCAGTCCTGGCTTGCCTTATTCAGGCACGTTACCAGAATCCAACCTGGCTTGTGGGTGGAACCCGAAAATTTTGGACTCATTCCCGGTTGCGCCCCACAGGCCGTCTTAGCGATGGCCTGTGTTAGTGCCCGGTGGACCAGCCGCATCTGCTCCACACTCATAGGATTCGAATTGCGAATCATTATGCGCGCGGAGCCAGCTACAGTACTGAAGCTGAGCTTCTTCTCCCCCTTTTGTCAGCTTCACAGACTTCCTGGGCTGGTCTTTGGGGGACTCTTCCTCAGATCG